CCTGCAGCCCAGCGCAATCTTCAGCGAATCTTCACAGGAGCTGCTGCTGGCGAACGCGTTACAGCACGCTCCACTGCATCCACAGCGCCTCATTCTGCAGAAAATAATTCTGCTCGCTACACCGACAATAATGTTTACGCCGGCACCAACAATGAGGCCATTCACCACGTTCTTGGTCTTCTTGCGGCGCTCCAGCGTGGCAATGGCGCCGATCCAGCACCGCCTCCGGAACCAGCACGCGTCGCAGTGGCGGCAGCCCCACGCTCTCGCCTCCCGGCGCCCGCCCCCGAGCCCGTGGACGACGAAATGGACGAGGAAGCACCCCATGCCACGCTCGACGAAGGTAATGCTGCCCGCCCAAAATCCGCTTCTGCAGCGCTCGCCCTTGCTCCTATTCCACCTGCACGTCCTCAGTTGCGCTCTTCCTTAGTTAAAAGCGATGGCATTCGTACGCAACTTTTTAGTTTTGAGCGCATTCAAGCTATTGCACGTCATGCTATCTCGGTTTTACCACCTGATGGTGGTGAACAAGCCGCCGACTATCTCCAGCAGATAGTAGAGGAGGCGGAAGAAAAGATTCATTTTTTGTTTACCGCCGATCAACGCGTTTTGAAGTGGCCAATATGGCCCTTAAGATTAAGTACGGGGAAGTGGTAGAGGATAAGAATGTCAAGGCTGCTTCTCAGATTGTAGCGGCTAGCAAGAAGAGGCCCACTCGGCCCACCCATTCCACATCCCGTCCTGAACCCCCTCTTCGCCCTCGAGGCCAAGGGGAGCGCCTTTGGAACACATGGCGTAGGGACGGCGACGGCCGTTGTTTCTATTGTCGTGAACCCGGGCATGGGATGGCTAATTGCCCCCAAAGGGCCAAGGGGCCAATCGGCCGGCTAAGATTGTGTAAATTGCTTAACCTCTCCGATGTTGTAGCGTTCTTAATATATTTAAAAAAAAAAAAAAAAAAGACAACAACAACAACAACATACACACATATTCTTGCACTCAAGTAAGATTAATACGCCGTCATACGACCACATGGTCTCGCCCGTTGGGCCTGTGCAAGAAGACATGAACGTGCCCACAAGACGCTTACACAATGTGTGTGCGTCCTCTAAAGACTGCCGTTGATAAGACTCATGACAAGATTTCTATGTCATCACCATATATGACCACCAACTACAGCCCAGTATGCCAAGTTGACATGCCCAATCCAATGGTTTATTACTTAAGGGATGACGTGGCCGAAGAATAGCGAGCGAGTGGGCACCTATAATTAGCGTTTGCCTTCCTTCCCGACAAAAAAAAAAAAAAAAAAAAAAAAAAAAAACTCCCTTGTTGAGGTCGGAACTAAATGAGGTGAAGCACCTTCCTGACTCTCTACCGTCCCTATTTGTGTTCCCTCTCCCACCAGAGCTCGGAACCATTTCGGCCTATGCCGATGACGCAACCAAGATTACCCGCATGCAAGGCCGCCTCCGTGACCGCGCTGCATGGTGGTCCGCCTGGTGCGACAGCCGCTTGATTCTATCGGTGATTACATCTGGATATCGCCTACCATGGGTTGCCTCTGAGCCCCCCCGTCTCGTACTAAGAATCATGGGTGCCTTGCAATTCACATCTTTCGCTGTAGGTGCAGTGGCCGAGCTTCTCGCCACCGGCGCAGCTCGGGTCGTACCTCCTTCCGCAACCCTTACATGCGTTAGCCCATTAAACGTGATTGTCCAACCCTCTAAAAAGAGGCTGATATTGGACTTGCGGCATGTCAACTCATTCCTCTCGGTGCCGTTTTCGATACGAAGGACTTACTCGCGTTCCTGATTTGGTGCAAGAAGGCGATTGGCTATTCACCATCGATCTCAAATCTGGGTACCACCACGTCGACATTCACCCCGCCTTTTGGCGGTTTCTCGGATTCTCCCTGCAAGGGCAGGACTACCAATTCCTCTCCTTGCCTTTCGGCTGGCTACAGCGCCATTTGTGTTTACCCAGTTAATTAAGCAACTCTCCAAACGCTGGCGTAGCCGTGGCATCCGCCTTATTCCATACGTCGATGATATCCTATTCATTAGTGCCACTCGAACGGAGGCACTTCACAACCGCTCCATAATCATCGCCGACCTTGCAGCCGCGGGCTTCGTAGTGAATTTCAAAAAATCACAACTCGCGCCGGCACAATCTTTGAAGTTCTTGGGCCTCTTGCTGGACACGCGCACCACCACATTCTCTGTCGATGCGGATCGGCGCGATCGGCTGTTTGCCGAGCTGGATGAATTAGGCACACTCGGCGCTAACGGGCGTCGCATCCCTGTTCGCCGCGTTGCCCGCATCACCGGCATGTTGGCCTCCATGTCCTTGGCACTTGGCACCGTCGCGCGCGCCTTCTCCCACCACCTTCTCGCTCAGATCGCCGAATGCCACTCATGGGGGGCGGCCATTCTCCTAACCCCTGAGTCTGTTGAAGAGCTGCGTTTTTGGCTCACACAGTTCGACATTTTCAACGGCGCCCGCTTCCACAACCCGCATTTGTACGACGTTGTCATGTACGTGGATGCTAGCGACCATGCCTGGGGGGCTTGTTATTCCGCGCCGGATGGTCGTGTCGGCTCGCTCTCCTCCCCGCTGCCTCTAGCCTTCTTGGGCTCGTCCAGTACCCTTCGCGAGTTGGCCGGAATCTTTTGGTCCCTTTCGGCCTTTTCTGTCGAAATCCGGCGTTCGCACATCTTGCTCCGCAGCGACAGTCAGGCGGCCTACTACATCCTCCAGAAGGGAGGCTCTCGCCGTCCCGAGCTTACCTTCGTATGCCGCGCGATTATTCAATTGTGCGTGCGCCATATGATCCGTCTCACGGTCCAATGGATTCCCCGTGCGCTGAATACTGAGGCCGATGCTCTGTCCAAGATTGAGCTCCACGACGACTACTCCTTGACACGTCCTTGGTTTCTGCTGCTGGAGAGGCATTGGGGGCCTCATACCATCGACTTGTTTGCATCCCCTGCCAATGCGCAGCTCGCTCGTTTCTGCTCCCTCGAGTTCTCACACTCGGCGGTTGCGCAAGATGCCTTTTCTATTAACTGGGGACACGAGAATTGCTTCGCCTTTCCTCCACCCGCCCTCATCCCGGCTGTCCTAACTCATGCCCGTCGCTCGCGCACTTCTCTCACTCTCGTGATCCCATATTGGCCTAGTGCTTTTTGGTGGCCTTTGCTAAGCCTGGACGGCTTCACTTGGGGCCCGGAGGTCGTTATGGCCCTTCGCCTTACCCTGGGTGCTAGTTGTTTACGTGTTGGCAGTGACCGTTATGCCTTTAGCGGTGCCGGTCTTCCGAACTCTCCAATGTATGCGCTTCGTTTTGCATTCAACTAATGTAGCATTTTATTTCACTGCGCAGGCTCATATATTGGTCGATTATTGTCGGACCTTCTCACACTCACCGTCGATCTTCGGGCAAAGTCTACCCTTCGCACTTATGAACCCTATTGGCGACAGTTTCGAGCCTTCTGTTTGGCGCACTCACTTCCTTCCTTCGCCACCGACCTGACATCGGCCCTCTTTCTGCTGCACTCGGTCCGTCGCGGCGCTACCGTCTCAGCTGTGCGCACTGCGTGTTCCGCCATATCCTGCGCCCATTGGCTGGTCGGCCACCCCTCCCCGATTCGCGGCCCCTTTTCTTCGCAAGTCAAGGATTATGCCATGCGTCATTGTGGCAAGCCATCTCAAGCGAAAGAGCCCATTCCTCCAGCCAAGATTTACGATATCTGTGACCTCCTTCTCCTCGCATGATCCGGCCACATTCCAACGGGGCCTTATTCCCCTCCTCATGTTCGCAGCCTTCCTTCGTTTCTCTGATCTCATCTCCCTCCAGTGGCACCAGATCGAGTTCGATCGGGACTGCATGTGGTTGTTCATCCCCCGTTCGAAGACCGACCAAGCGGGCACCGGTGTTTGGGTCCCAGTGGCTGCTTCTTCTGCCCGCCACTGTCCGGTGTCGCGTGTCCAACAGTTCCTCTTCCTGGCTGGCTATTCTCCGCAGACCCTTGGCCCCCTTATTCGTATATTTCAGCCAGGTGCCCGAGCTTCCCCCTCAGATCGCCCTCCCTCGTACGCCGCCATTCGGGGTTGGTGTCGAGATGCTTTCTCCCGTGTCGGCCTCAACCCAGCCCTCCTGGGCACCCATTCTTTCCGCAAGGCAGCTGCGACGGTCGCCGTTGATGTTGGAGTCCCCGACCGGCTTTTCAAGGCCCTCGGCCGTTGGCGAAGTGATACAGCCAAGGAGCTTTACATTACTCAGCTTGACCGCGAGCTAGTGGCCGCTTCTCGCATGCTACAAGATCCTACTCGCTCGAGCGCGACCGATCGGTACCAGGCCACCCTTGAGCGCCACCGTCGACGCCCTCACACTTGATGTCTCGTTCGACCTATGACGACTGCACTGCACACTCCTCTGAGGTCGTGTCACAATATGAGAAATTTTTTGTAATGAAAATTTACAGATTGTGATTCGACTAGAAGAGGAGTTTGCTGTAAAGGAGACAAACTCCTTCATCTATCGGCAGGTCTTTCAGACCTGCCACCTAGTCTCATTTGCATTTTTCTGTTCCAACTTGCCCACCCTTCCCTCCCTCGCTTTGATAACTAGCATGGCCGTTCAGCCTTGTTCCCTTGCCATGTATTTGCCCTATCTAGTGTGCTGTATTATGGAGCTATGATATGCTATGACGACTGCACTGCACCTATGACGACTGCACTGCACACTCCTCTGAGGTCGTGTCACAATCCTGAGCGATCAGGGCTCCTAAAAACCAATCTAGGGGCCTGGTTTAGAGTGTGCTGGTGGTATGCAAGTTGGAACAGAAAAATGCAAATGAGACTAGGTGGCAGGTCTGAAAGACCTGCCGATAGATGAAGGAGTTTGTCTCCTTTACAGCAAACTCCTCTTCTAGTCGAATCACAATCTGTAAATTGTTCATTACAAAAATTTCTCATATTTCACCACTTCTTAGGTCGGTAGGTATATGATAAGACATAGGGGTCTCCTATCCGAGCGTTTACGGTATGTTACCCAGATGAAATGAAGCTCGCTGCCTTTACAAGAGGACCTAAGCAAGCTTTCACAGTAGTGGGTAATCCGAATGACAGATAAGAAGCAGAAGCCGAACAAAAGCAGGAAACACGGCAGGCCAGCCAGCCAATACTGTGCATGTCAGCAGGGTTGTCCAACATACTACCGGTACCGTGCATCCCTCCCGAGTGTAAACCCAGACCAGACATCGTACGACAACCCCCTCACTCCAGGTCACTGCAGGTCAACCCAGGTCAACTGGGGTCAAAGCAGAGCATGTGGGAGAGCATCCTGGTCCACTCATTGGGGTACATATGCAGTAAAATCAATTCAACCCTGGTCAACCAAAAGAAGGTCAAAGCAAGTCCAGCAGCATGTGGTAGAGCATCCTGGTCCACTCATCCGGGGGCCCAGGCAGGCAGTACTGCAGGCAGTCAGAGGGCGGGCGAATGTGCCCATCAGGTCTCAGAGCAGTCATCGGATCGACATCCAGGAACACCCCTCCTACCCCTTCACCAGCCGCCTCGCCCACTCATTCTGGGCGGCAAGCTCCCCCCAGTGGTTGGGAAGAGACGAGGCGTCCTGGCGCTCAGTGATTGGTGCGAGGAGCTGGTCGCAGTGCGCGTGGCCGGGCGGCGTGCTTCGGTAAATTATGAGGAGGTCAGGAGCCGCCGCCCGCACTTTGGTGAGGGTTTCGTTCAGCTGGGGGATGAACCTTTCATCCTCGACAAAGTGCGTCCCGCGATTCAGTATAAGCACGGAAATGTTACTGTTCACTTGGTCGAACCAAGGCAAAGAGAGGGCCGGAGCGTCAGCAGGTCCGGCGCTCGGATCCTGAGCCGCAGGGTCGGGATTGGCGGGCGAGGTTCGGAGGATGTCGTCCCGAACGAAGAGGATAGATGCGGAGTCCGCAGGAACCCTCGGGATCTGCACCCCGAAGGTGATCTGCGTGCACACTGGGAAGTCCTGCTGCTGCCGCAGGTCCAGCCTCGCACAGAAATCCGGCACCTCGTCTCGCACCACTATGAGATGCTCTAGGCCTTCATAGCCCCCACTTCCTCCCTTCCCACTCCCTGCTGCTCCTCCTTCACCTCCTCCTCCTCCTACCCCTCCCGCTCCTCCTGCTCCTCCTCCTGCTCCTCCTCCCCCTCCCCTCCTCCTCCTCCACCTCCCGGCATGAGCAGGTGATTCCTGAGCGAGAGATACAGCATGGCGCTAGTGGCATCCCCCACCATCAGCACCTTCCGCCCCGCCAGCCTCCCCGCCAGGACCTCCCTATCCACCGCCCCCCACCGCCCGCACCGCCTATGCGCCCGCCACCGGTACTTCACCGCGTCCCGAACCTGCCACTCCTTCGCGTGCCGAGCCTCGTCGGCCACAGCATCGGCGGCGCTAAAGGCCAGGTTGCCGGTTTCCGAGGCTTGGCGGGACCAGGCGGCATCGCACTCCCACCCGGACCACCCCTTGCGGAGTTTGAACCAGGGGAGCGGGCGGGGGACGGGGTCTAGGTCCCAGATGCCCTGCGTGGCGAGGCACTCGTAGCGCTGCTCGAAGGATGTGAGGGAGTCTGGTGTGAGGAGGGCAGATCCGGGAATGATGGGTTTGGGTTGTGCTGGCGACGGTGGTGCTGGTTGTGATGGGTCTTGGCTGGTGGAGGGTTCATCAGTGGTGTTGCTAGGACCGGATGCCCCAGCAGGGGTGGCAGCAGCAGTTGCAGCGGCGTTTTCAGCAGCAGCAGCAGCTACGGCTGCTGCTGCCCCTGGCCCTCCCTCATCCCCCCAACTGCTACGCTCACAGCCCTACCGTGTGCCGCCAGCAGGTCTTGACACGCAGTGAATATGCTAGACGATGGGTTGAGAGAGGCGAGGGAGGAGGAGGAGGTGGAGAGCGGTGAGAGGGAGGAGGGAGGGGCGAATTGCGAGACTTGGGTGGTGGGGAGTGGAGGGAGGTCCATAGGAGGAAGAGGAGGAGGAGAGTGAGGGAGGAGAGGAGGGGGCGATGAGAGGGGGAGGGAGGCGGGAGAGGGAGTGGACACAGAAGAGATGAGCCCTGCCCACCTGCACGTGTGCTTTAGCTGCCAGGTCTAGGGCGTATCTGGTGGGGAAGAGAGCAGAGGGAGGGAGGGAGGCAGGACGATTGAAGCGTCTTGAGTTGAGAAAACAGTCACTTGGCGGGAGTGCACGCAGAAGACATGGGCCCTGCCCACCTGCACGTGTGCTTTGGCAGCCAAATCTAGGGCGTATGTGGTTGAAGTTGGGGGAAAGGGGAAGTAGAGGAAGGAGGGAACGGAGAGAGTTTGCATGCAGAAGAGATGGGCCTGCCCGCCTGCACGTGTGCTTTAGCCGCCAGGTCTAGAGCGTATCTGGTGGGGGAGAGAGAGGAGGGAGCGATGGAGGGAGGGAGGGAGAGGGAGGGAGGAGGGAGGGAGGGAGGGAGGGAGGAGGGAGGGAGGGAGGGAGGGAGGGAGGGAGGGGAGGGAGGGAGGGAGGAGGGAGGGAGGAGGGAGAGCGAGCGAAGCGTGTTCAGTGGAGTGAACAGTCGGCGGGAGAGAGTTCGGACGCAGAAGAGATGGGCCCTGCATATTTGCACGTGTGGTCTAGCAGCCAGGCCTAGAGTGTATCTGTTGAGATGCTGGGGGAACAGGAAGGCGGAGGGAGGGAGGACCAGAGGAGGAAGCGGAGGAGAGTGAGGGAGGAGAGTGAGGGAGGAGAGTGAGGGAGGAGAGGAGAGGGACGACGAGGCGAGGGGGGAAGAAGGGCGGGAGAGAGTGTGGACGCAGAGGAGATGAGTCCTGCCTGCCCAGCCCACTTGCATGTGTGCTTTAGCAGCCAGATATAAAAAGGAGTGCAGATCTTTAGCCTGGGCGTATCTGGAAGGAATGCGAGGGGGGGAATGCGGGGTAGGAGAGGAGGGGAGACGGTGGGAGAGGGAGGAGGGAGGCTGGAGAGAGAGTACACGCGGAAGAGATGGGCCCTGCCCGCCTGGGCGTTACCCTGAGCAGCCAGGTGCAGAGCGTATCTGGTGAGAGTAGGGGGAAACGGGGGAAAGAGAGGAAGCGGGGAAGGGAGAGAGTGTGTGTATGCAGACAACATGGGCCCTGCCCACTTGCACGTACGCTTATACAGCCAGGTTTAGCGCGCACGTGTTGAGGATGCGGGGAGACGGGGGAGGGAGGGGGAACGAAAAACGTGTTGAGTTGAGTTGATGAACGGTCAGACGGAGCGAGGATGGTCGCAGAAGAGATGCAGAGATGATGAGCCCTGACCAGTGACCACCTGACCAGTGACCACCTGACCAGTGACCACCTGACCAGTGTCCACCTGACCAGTGACCACCTGACCAGTGACCACCTGACCAGTGACCACCTGACCAGTGACCACCTGACCAGTGACCACCTGACCAGTGTCCACCTGACCAGTGACCACCTGACCAGTGACCACCTGACCAGTGACCACCTGACCAGTGTCCACCTGACCAGTGACCACCTGACCAGTGACCACCTGACCAGTGACCACCTGACCAGTGACCACCTGACCAGTGACCACCTGACCAGTGACCACCTGACCAGTGACCACCTGACCAGTGTCCACCTGACCAGTGACCACCTGTCCAGGAACGTGCTTTATTGGCCAGGCCTAGGAAGAATCTGATGGGGGTGGGCACTTGGTAGGAGGACCATGGGAACGGCATGTGGGGTAAGCGAGTAAAGGTGGGAGGGTTGCTGGCGAGGTTGGAACGGAGGACGTCCATATAGACGCCCAGAGGGGACGTCCATATAGACGCCCAGAGGGGACGTCCATATAGACGCCCAGAGGGGACGTCCATATAGACGCCCAGAGGGGACGTCCATATAGACGCCCAGAGGGGACGTCCATATAGACGCCCAGAGGGGACGTCCATATAGACGCCCAGAGGGGACGTCCATATAGACGCCCAGAGGAACGTCCATATAGACGCCCAGAGGGAACGTCCATATAGACGCCCAGAGGGGACGTCCATATAGACGCCCAGAGGAGACGTCCATATAGACGCCCAGAGGGACGTCCATATAGACGCCCAGAGGGAACGTCCATATAGACGCCCAGAGGGAACGTCCATATAGACGCCCAGAGGGGACGTCCATATAGACGCCCAGGGGAACGTCCATATAGACGCCCAGAGGGAACGTCCATATAGACGCCCAGAGGGAACGTCCATATAGACGCCCAGAGGGGACGTCCATATAGACGCCCAGGGGAACGTCCATATAGACGCCCAGAGGGGACGTCCATATAGACGCCCAGAGGAACGTCCATATAGACGCCCAGAGGGACGTCCATATAGACGCCCAGAGGGGACGTCCATATAGACGCCCAGAGGGACGTCCATATAGACGCCCAGAGGGACGTCCATATAGACGCCCAGAGGGAACGTCCATATAGACGCCCAGAGGGGACGTCCATATAGACGCCCAGAGGGACGTCCATATAGACGCCCAGAGGGAACGTCCATATAGACGCCCAGAGGGACGTCCATATAGACGCCCAGAGGGAACGTCCATATAGACGCCCAGAGGGGACGTCCATATAGACGCCCAGAGGGAACGTCCATATAGACGCCCAGAGGGAACGTCCATATAGACGCCCAGAGGGAACGTCCATATAGACGCCCAGGGGAACGTCCATATAGACGCCCAGAGGGACGTCCATATAGACGCCCAGAGGGGACGTCCATATAGACGCCCAGAGGGACGTCCATATAGACGCCCAGAGGGACGTCCATATAGACGCCCAGGGGACGTCCATATAGACGCCCAGAGGGACGTCCATATAGACGCCCAGAGGGAACGTCCATATAGACGCCCAGAGGGACGTCCATATAGACGCCCAGAGGGGACGTCCATATAGACGCCCAGAGGGGACGTCCATATAGACGCCCAGAGGGAACGTCCATATAGACGCCCAGAGGGAACGTCCATATAGACGCCCAGAGGGAACGTCCATATAGACGCCCAGAGGGAACGTCCATATAGACGCCCAGAGGGAACGTCCATATAGACGCCCAGAGGGGACGTCCATATAGACGCCCAGGGGACGTCCATATAGACGCCCAGAGGGAACGTCCATATAGACGCCCAGAGGGACGTCCATATAGACGCCCAGAGGGGACGTCCATATAGACGCCCAGAGGGGACGTCCATATAGACGCCCAGAGGGACGTCCATATAGACGCCCAGAGGGGACGTCCATATAGACGCCCAGAGGGGACGTCCATATAGACGCCCAGAGGGAACGTCCATATAGACGCCCAGAGGGACGTCCATATAGACGCCCAGAGGGACGTCCATATAGACGCCCAGAGGGAACGTCCATATAGACGCCCAGAGGGAACGTCCATATAGACGCCCAGAGGGAACGTCCATATAGACGCCCAGAGGGACGTCCATATAGACGCCCAGAGGGACGTCCATATAGACGCCCAGAGGGACGTCCATATAGACGCCCAGAGGGGACGTCCATATAGACGCCCAGAGGGACGTCCATATAGACGCCCAGAGGGACGTCCATATAGACGCCCAGAGGGACGTCCATATAGACGCCCAGAGGGAACGTCCATATAGACGCCCAGAGGGGACGTCCATATAGACGCCCAGAGGGACGTCCATATAGACGCCCAGAGGGACGTCCATATAGACGCCCAGAGGGACGTCCATATAGACGCCCAGAGGGAACGTCCATATAGACGCCCAGAGGGAACGTCCATATAGACGCCCAGAGGGAACGTCCATATAGACGCCCAGAGGGGACGTCCATATAGACGCCCAGAGGGACGTCCATATAGACGCCCAGAGGGAACGTCCATATAGACGCCCAGAGGGACGTCCATATAGACGCCCAGAGGGACGTCCATATAGACGCCCAGAGGGGACGTCCATATAGACGCCCAGAGGGGACGTCCATATAGACGCCCAGAGGGACGTCCATATAGACGCCCAGAGGGGACGTCCATATAGACGCCCAGAGGGAACGTCCATATAGACGCCCAGAGGGACGTCCATATAGACGCCCAGAGGGAACGTCCATATAGACGCCCAGAGGGGACGTCCATATAGACGCCCAGAGGGGACGTCCATATAGACGCCCAGAGGGGACGTCCATATAGACGCCCAGAGGGACGTCCATATAGACGCCCAGAGGAACGTCCATATAGACGCCCAGAGGGGACGTCCATATAGACGCCCAGAGGGGACGTCCATATAGACGCCCAGGGGAACGTCCATATAGACGCCCAGAGGGGACGTCCATATAGACGCCCAGAGGGGACGTCCATATAGACGCCCAGAGGGACGTCCATATAGACGCCCAGAGGGGACGTCCATATAGACGCCCAGAGGGGACGTCCATATAGACGCCCAGAGGGGACGTCCATATAGACGCCCAGAGGGACGTCCATATAGACGCCCAGAGGGAACGTCCATATAGACGCCCAGAGGGGACGTCCATATAGACGCCCAGAGGGAACGTCCATATAGACGCCCAGAGGGGACGTCCATATAGACGCCCAGAGGGGACGTCCATATAGACGCCCAGAGGGACGTCCATATAGACGCCCAGAGGGAACGTCCATATAGACGCCCAGAGGGAACGTCCATATAGACGCCCAGAGGGACGTCCATATAGACGCCCAGAGGGGACGTCCATATAGACGCCCAGAGGGACGTCCATATAGACGCCCAGAGGGGACGTCCATATAGACGCCCAGAGGGACGTCCATATAGACGCCCAGGGGACGTCCATATAGACGCCCAGAGGGGACGTCCATATAGACGCCCAGAGGGGACGTCCATATAGACGCCCAGAGGGGACGTCCATATAGACGCCCAGAGGGGACGTCCATATAGACGCCCAGAGGGAACGTCCATATAGACGCCCAGAGGGAACGTCCATATAGACGCCCAGAGGGAACGTCCATATAGACGCCCAGAGGGGACGTCCATATAGACGCCCAGAGGGAACGTCCATATAGACGCCCAGAGGGGACGTCCATATAGACGCCCAGAGGGACGTCCATATAGACGCCCAGAGGGAACGTCCATATAGACGCCCAGAGGGACGTCCATATAGACGCCCAGAGGGGACGTCCATATAGACGCCCAGAGGGGACGTCCATATAGACGCCCAGAGGGGACGTCCATATAGACGCCCAGAGGGGACGTCCATATAGACGCCCAGAGGGGACGTCCATATAGACGCCCAGAGGGACGTCCATATAGACGCCCAGAGGGACGTCCATATAGACGCCCAGAGGGGACGTCCATATAGACGCCCAGAGGGGACGTCCATATAGACGCCCAGAGGGGACGTCCATATAGACGCCCAGAGGGGACGTCCATATAGACGCCCAGAGGGAACGTCCATATAGACGCCCAGAGGGAACGTCCATATAGACGCCCAGAGGGAACGTCCATATAGACGCCCAGAGGGACGTCCATATAGACGCCCAGAGGGGACGTCCATATAGACGCCCAGAGGGACGTCCATATAGACGCCCAGAGGGGACGTCCATATAGACGCCCAGAGGGGACGTCCATATAGACGCCCAGAGGGGACGTCCATATAGACGCCCAGAGGGGACGTCCATATAGACGCCCAGAGGGGACGTCCATATAGACGCCCAGAGGGGACGTCCATATATTCGCCCAGAGGGGACGTCCATATATTCGCCCAGAGGGACATCCATATACGCCCAGAGGGACGTCCATATATTCGCCCAGAGGGACGTCCATATAGACGCCCAGAGGGGACGTCCATATACGCCCAGAGGGGACGTCCATATAGACGCCCAGAGGGACGTCCATATAGACGCCCAGAGGGACGTCCATATAGACGCCCAGAGGGACGTCCATATAGACGCCCAGAGGGACGTCCATATACGCCCAGAGGGGACGTCCATATATTCGCCCAGAGGGGACGTCCATATAGACGCCCAGAGGGGACGTCCATATATTCGCCCAGAGGGACGTCCATATAGACGCCCAGAGGGGACGTCCATATATTCGCCCAGAGGGGACGTCCATATAGACGCCCAGAGGGGACGTCCATATAGACGCCCAGAGGGGACGTCCATATAGACGCCCAGAGGGGACGTCCATATAGACGCCCAGAGGGGACGTCCATATATTCGCCCAGAGGGGACGTCCATATATTCGCCCAGAGGGGACGTCCATATAGACGCCCAGAGGGGACGTCCATATATTCGCCCAGAGGGGACGTCCATATAGACGCCCAGAGGGGACGTCCATATATTCGCCCAGAGGGGACGTCCATATAGACGCCCAGAGGGACGTCCATATAGACGCCCAGAGGGGACGTCCATATAGACGCCCAGAGGGGACGTCCATATACGCCCAGAGGGGACGTCCATATATTCGCCCAGAGGGGACGTCCATATACGCCCAGAGGGGACGTCCATATATTCGCCCAGAGGGGACGTCCATATAGACGCCCAGAGGGGACGTCCATATATTCGCCCAGAGGGGACGTCCATATAGACGCCCAGAGGGACGTCCATATAGACGCCCAGAGGGGACGCCATATAGACGCCCAGAGGGGACGTCCATATAGACGCCCAGAGGGGACGTCCATATATTCGCCCAGAGGGGACGCCATATTCGCCCAGAGGGGACGTCCATATAGACGCCCAGAGGGGACGTCCATACGCCCAGAGGGACGCCATATAGACGCCCAGAGGGGACGTCCATATACGCCCAGAGGGGACGTCCATACAGACGCCCAGAGGGGACGTCCATACAGACGCCCAGAGGGGACGCCATACAGACGCCCAGGGGACGCCATACAGACGCCCAGAGGGGACGCCATACGCCCAGAGGGGACGCCATATACGCCCAGAGGGGACGTCCATACAGACGCCCAGAGGGACGTCCATATACGCCCAGAGGGGACGGCCATATAGACGCCCAGGGGACGGCCACATACGCCCAGAGAGGGACGCCATACAGACGCCCAGAGGGGACGCCATACGCCCAGAGGGGACGTCCATACAGACGCCCAGAGGGACGGCCATATAGACGCCCAGAGGGGACGCCATATAGACGCCCAGAGGGGACGTCCATATAGACGCCCAGAGGGGACGTCCATATACGCCCAGAGGGGACGGTCCATATATTCGCCCAGAGGGGACGCCATAGACGCCCAGAGGGGACGGCCATATACGCCCAGAGGGGACGGCCATAGACGCCCAGAGGGGACATACAGACGCCCAGAGGGGACGCCATACAGACGCCCAGAGGGGACGCCATACAGACGCCCAGAGGGACGGCCATACAGACGCCCAGAGGGGACGTCCATACAGACGCCCAGAGGGACGGCCATACAGACGCCCAGAGGGGACGGCCATATACGCCCAGAGGGGACGCCATACAGACGCCCAGAGGGGACGCCATATACGCCCAGAGGGGACGCCATACAGACGCCCAGAGGGGAGCCATATACGCCCAGAGGTCCATATAGACGCCCAGAGGGGACGGCTGCACAGCACAGGCCTGAGGAGGAAGGAAGCGCATCCGCCTTTTACGCGCCTCCAAAATCCGCGCGTGATGAGTCGATTTTTTGAGGCACCTAAAAAAGGAAGGTTACGCAGCACAGGCCAGAGGAGGAAGCGCATCCAGAGAGGGCGACTTGTGAGTCGACTCGAAAGTCGCGCTGAGGAGGAAGCGCAGCAAGAGAGGGCGAGGGGAGGAAGACTTTGGGGAAACCTTTGAGGAGGGAGGGAGCGCCTATCCGCTTCTCACAAGTGCGGTGGGCAGAGGGAGGAGGCTCAGGGTTCGGGAACGGGAAGGGTGCCCTGCCATGCGGTGCTCTTTAGAGAACATCTGCTATGCCATCGTGCCATCGCACAACGTGCACCATCAAAGCTCGGGAAGGTTTCCGGAGGGTGCAAGCAACGCGTATCCACCTGTAAATCCCCCATAATAAGTAAACGTCCAGTCACTCTCAAGAACGAGCGGCGAAAACACCCTGTATTCTCCCTCGCTGGGGTCACTTGCCAGCTGCGCCCCGCGCGATTGATCAGACCTCTATTAGGCTTCAAAAGATTGTTAAAATTAGTATTTTGTAACCTTGAGCTTTTCCAAAAGAGATCTCCACACGCGACGTAGCTGACTTCAAGCTCGTATCGCTTGCCTTTTCACGTGCTCGATCACTGACCTTTAACAGCCTCGACCGTATTCGCGTTAAAGAGCTCCCCGCTTTGGTACTTGCGCCAGACGGCCCCACATTGTTCTTAGCGGTCTCGTACGAAAGCATCGCCGAGCGCTGTAGCTGCATCGCAGCATGGCTCGTCGCCAGCCGTCGCACGCCTCGCACGGGGTCGTCCACGCATTCGCGAAGCGCCTGTGCGACGCTCTCCGTGCCGCCACGTGGACTGCCTCCCTGTCGCGACGGCGTCGGCATGACCACAGTCCGCCGTACAGGAACAAGGAACGTGAATCAAACACTGTGAGGTAAAAGGGCCGTTCGGAAACTGCACTTTAAACGTTGCTTTGGATCAACGTCTACGTCGGCGTCGGCATGACCACCGGTCCCCCTCACAGGATCTTGCACCAAGTACTGTGAGGTAAAATGGTCGATCGGAAACTGTACTCTGAACTTTACTTGGTCAAATGTCTACTACGGCGTCGGCATGACCACCGTCCCCTTACAGGAACGAGGAACGTGTATCAATTACTGTGGGGTAAAAGAGCCGCCCGGAAACACACTACTATTCTAAAGACTACTTTATCAAAGGTCTAAGTCCTCGGTATGACTACCGTCCCCCCGAATGCAGACGATACAGAACGTTACGATAAACTTAAACTCAGGCCGAACGGTCGGCCTACAGCAAGCTTTTGAGTCGTACTGGGAATCATGCAGCCCGCCACGATTCGTACGCTGCATTCGGAGTGCAATGCAGCCGATTCAGATGAGCACGATCAACCTACGTCAGCCTACGGCTGCCATCGTCACGCATCAGTCAATAAGAACATCTGTTGAGAGCTGGAGGAAGTCTGAGAAGTAAGGGGAGATGCAGATAACGACATGCTTCGGCGATATGAGAGGGAGGCAGCAGGAGACGGGGCCAAATTCACCTACCTACCATCCATCAAAGTTGGACTACGTATTCACTGCCTCGGTACTGCCGTGAGAGTCAGAGAGTGTCAGCGTGGTGTCGAATGTCGATGGCACAAGGCTGTAGTATGCGCATTTCGTGCACAATGTGGTGCTGACATTCTATAATTGCGTCATTCTCGCGCGTACTTTGCAGCCTACATCAAATATGAACGCGACCTAGGTAGCTTTCACCAAACCGACGGAGGAATCATGCTTCGTTATAGCGCGAAATGCGATCTCGAGCTGCAGCGTTATATGTAACACAAGTGCAATTTACATCTAACACTCCCAAACTAGTCACTTTCAATCAACCAGCGCCAAGATGACCTTATGTCACACTGTTATCCTAAACCTATGATTACGCTAAGAATTCTCTTTAAAAAATCATGATGTCTCGCTCTAATGCTTGAAGCGGCAACTAGACCCATTCCGACAAAACCCTCTGGCAAAGAACCGGCACACAAAGCGATCACCCTCTCTCCCCCACTTCCACCGCCCCCAAACCTCCCACTACCACCACTCCTCCACTCATCACCCCCCTCTCTCCCCCTCCAGAACCCCGAAATGAATATCCCTCCTCCCCCCATCCCTCCAATCCTCACTCCCTCTCCCCCGTCCCTCTCCTCCCCCTCGGCTCCTCCAACCCCCTCCTCACCCTCCCCCCACCTCGGCTCCTCCAACCCCCCTCCTCACCCTCTCCTCCCCCTCGGCTCCTCCAACCCCCATCCTCACCCTCCCCCCCCATCCCCCATTCCTCTCCCTCCACGCTCCGCCCTCTCCCCCCTCCCTCCAACCACCCTGGGGCACTGGCCCGGGGCCAGAAACACCTGCTGCAGGGGCAGCCACCCCAGAAGCACCTGCTGCGAAGGCACCTTCCCCAGAAGGACCCTGTCCTCCTCCCCCCCAAGGTTGCCTGTTCCCCTCACTCCAACCTCCTCCCCAACCCGCGCTTCCATCACCCCCCCTTGCCATCCTGACCCCTCACCCCCTCCTCCCCCCACTCCTGGACCCCCGGTTGCCCCACCAGGACCAGTCACAGGGGCAACAGGCATGCCCTGCTGCCCCACACCAGCATACGGTTGGGAAACCTGGGGAGCCTGGGAATGTGCGACGCGTGAGAGACGTGAGGAGCCTCAGGTGCCATAAGCCCCACTCCCCCACCGCTAGGCACACTAAATGCTGCTGCCCCTGGTGCTGCCTCCTGCTGCTGCCAACCCTGTCCCAACACTGCCGCCGCCACCAAAAGCGCCTGCAGCAGCAGCAGCCGCGCTTGGAACACCACCACCAACGCCGCCACCACCCGCACCAGCAGCACCAGCACCAGCAGCACCACCGGCAGCAGCCCCAGAACTGCTGCCTTTTCCGGCAGAAACGGGTCCACCTTCCCCGCAGCAATATCCGCCAGCAGAACCCCCTGCTCCTGCCCTGCCCCGCGCGCCACACGTGCAGATCAGCGGGGAACACGTTAAGGGGCAGCCATCCGCGCAGGCGGGCCAGGGAGAAGGGCCCCTGCAGGTCCCCCTGGGGGTCGCGGTAGTGCCACAGCTGCTGCTGCTCCAGCTGGGACAGTTGTGTTCGCCAGGCGGATTCTAACTCTGCCTCCCGCTGCTGCTGCTGGCTGCTGCTGCTGCTGCTGCTGCTGCTGCAGGTTTTGCTGCTGGTGTGTGTCGCTGAAGGTACCCTCGACTCTCCTGTAACCCCCCTCCTCGCCCTTTCACTAGTCCCTCCGCTTCCCTCCCTCCTCCAATGCCTATCACCTGCACCCTCTCTCTCCCTCCCCTCCCTATCTCTTCCTTCTCCCTCCCTTCCTCTCCCCTCTCGCCTCGCTCCCGATCTCGGCCCCATCCTCTATCCCTCTCTTCCTTCTCCCTGCCCCAACCCCTGCCCCCTCTCCCCTCCCTTTCCCCATCTCTATCCCTCCACCTCTCTCCCCTCTCTCCCCCTCTCGGCCCCACCCATCTTCTCATCCCTCCTCCACTCCCTCCCCCTCCTCTCCTCGTCCTCCCACCTCTCACGCCCCATATCCCCCCTCCCTTCCCCAGAACTCCCCCTCCCCCTCCCCCTCCACCCCCTTCCCTGTCAGACCTCCCCCCATCCCCCTCCCTCTCGCTCCCCTTCCAACCCCTCTCTCCCCATGCCCCCACCCTCCTCTCCTCCTCTCTTCCTCCTCGGAACGAGAACCAGAGAGCGACCTAGACAGGGGGATAGCACTATCCACCTCCCTCTTCTCCCCTCCTCTCTCCACTCCCACTCCCACTCCCCCGCTTTCCCAAGTGTCTCCTCTCCCCCTCCCTCCGAACTCACTCTCCCCTCCCCCTCCCTCTGAACTCCCCCCCTCCTCTCCCCCCCCTCAGTCGTGAATGGGGGAGACCTGGCTCCAGGGGTCTGGGGGGAAAGAGGGGGGAAGGCGGAAGCGGGAAGAGGAAGAGGGACGGTGGGAAGGGTGGAGGGGGAATGAGTGAACGAGTAGGGCGTGGTTCGTGAATGGGAATGCTTCTGAGTTGACTCAAAAGCAGAGTGCACGCTCTATTCCCTTTCTCCTTCCCGCCTTTGCCCTTCTCCGCACCCTCATCATCCGAATCACCAGTCGACAGGTGCATCAATTGTCGGGTACTCGGCCATCTTCTCGGCGCGGAAGGCCGGCTTGTCCTATGCTTGCACACACTCATTCCCTCCCTTTCCCCTCTCTCCCCAACCCGAAACCCAGCAACCAGCCCACCTATGTTCTTCTCCCCTTGGTCGTTCAAATCACCCATCCCTAAGTGCATCAGGTCAGGGTCTGTCTTGATGGTGTGGGCACGCGAGTAGCCGGCCTGTCCAACTCAACTCCTTTAATGCTTGCACGCACTCAGAGCCAAGCTCTCTCCCCTTTTCCCACCTGTAGCCCAGTAACCCACCTCTGTTCATGTTTTTCGCCTCCAACGGCTGGCTTGTCCAGCTGCTTGAGCGCTTGCAGACACTCTGATCACTTTACGATTTTTAGGCGCCTCAGAAATCGTCTCATTTTTTAAGGCGCCTCAAAAAAGTCGAGCTTGTCCAGCTGTTTCAGCGCTTTCACACACTCTATCACTTGAACCCAGCTACCAGCCTTCAACCCTTGGCTGGCAGACACTCCCACCTGCTCCCCTTTTATCAACCTCACCTGCAACAGAGTAACCCACCCACCTGAGCTCTTCTTCTTCCCTTCGTCATCCGAGTCACCAGTCGATAGGTGCATCAAGTCGGGGTCCGCCTCGATGGTCGGGTACTCGGCCCATCTTCTTGGCTCGGAAGGCCGGCTTATCCAGCTCCTTCAATGCTTGCACGCGCTCCCATTGCGTGGCGAGGGGTCAGGGGTTCAGACAGCAGCGGATTCCGGGTCAAGGGTTGGCAGGTGAATGGGTGGTCCTTTGGTTAAGGAAAAGCATGAGAGTTTGGAATTAGAACGCGGGGGGAAACTTTGGATGCGGGAAAGGGAGAGGTGGGTGCAGGAGGGTCACCGGTGGAAAGCGGAGTGGAGAAGGAAAGAGCGAACTAAGGGAGAGGGGAGAGCAGAGGATATAAGAATTAAGTACACAACACCATAAGGAGCACACAGGACAGGAAGGCTGGCTTGTTCTGGTTGTTCAAAAGTAGGGAATGGCAACCTTAAAAGGCATGAGAAAAGGATAGAGTAGCGCAAGGGGAGAGGCAAGAATGAAGAGTGGTTGAGAGAAGGAAGGGTAAGAAGGAGGAGGGAGAGTGGCAGGGTAGGGGAGCAACGAAAGGCAAGAGGGTAGGGTAGGGGATAAGAGAGAAAGGAAAGGGCAGGAGTAGCATCGCATCGCTGCAGAAGGATATTCTTTCTTGGATCCTCGCTCGCTCGCCCTGTCCCTGAGATTGGTGAGCTTCACTCGCTCCGACTCCAACCACTGCCAGCGGGGAAGGGAAGAGCCGGGGAGAAACGAGGGAAAACGGTGAGAGGAAAATGGGAGGAAAGTGGGAGGAAAGTGGGAGGAAAGTGGGGGTGGGAGGAAAGTGGGGGGACTAATCCGGGGGTCATAACAGAGCACATGTAATACATAACGTTGATGTCCACTGATAGAGCATTGAAAAGCTTACATCGTTGACTTTGAGCTCGTGCAGCTCGTTCTCCTTGGCAACCACCTCGTCCTGAAGCGAGGGCAGAGGGGATACGCGATAGGGAAATGGGGAGAGGGGAGAATGAACAAGAGACAGACAGTCTGGCTGCTCGCCTCACATCATTCACTCTGAGCTCGTGCAGCTCGTTCTCCGCGGCAACCACCTCGTCCTCATGGTATCAAAACGAGAGGGGGTGGGGGGGAAGAGATGAGGGGAGAGCGGAGAGAAAAGAGGCGTTACGTTTGCGGCACGGCAGCGGCAGTGCAGTGCAGTGCAGTGCAGTGCAGTGCAGTGCAGTGCAGTGCAGTGCAGTGCAGTGCAGTGCAGTGCAGTGCAGTGCGCAAAGAGGGGAAGGAGGGGAGGGGCCAGGCCTCGCATCAGATTGTGCTTGAGCTCGTGCAGCTCGTTCTCCTTGGCAGCCACCTCGTCCTGATTGTAACAAAACGAGGGGGAGGAGTCAGGGGAGAGCGGGAGCAGAGCGGAACGAGGATAAGTCTGTGCGAGACCATGTGCCGGGCTGGCTGGCTGGCTGCTGACTTTTGAGTCGACTCAAAAGTCATCACGAGGGGATCAGTCTGCGCCAGTGCATGTGCCGGGCTGGCTGGCTGGCTGCTTGCGCCGCACAGTAGCCTTCATTGTCCAGCTCGATCTCCATGCCAACCAACGCGTTCTGAAGAGAGGATAGCAGCGAGACAAAGAAGAGAGGGGAAGGGGAAGAGGGGAGAGGGGAGAGAGGGGAGGGGAGGGGGGAGGGGGAGGGGGAGGGGGAAGTGGGGGGGGCGGAGGGGGAAGGTGGGGGGGGGAATAGGGGACGTGGCATGGCATGCTATGGTGAGTCGATGCACGAGCCCCCACTTCACGCCGCTACTGAGTTGACTCAAAAGCATAGCACAGCATTGTGCAGAAAGGCATCGCATGGCACAAGGGATGGCATCACGGCAGAACGTACCACAGTAAGTCGATCCACAAACCCCCACTTGGCGTACAGCCACAGCTTCAGAGTCGACTCAACAGCATGGCATGGCACGGCATGGCATGGCATGGCATGGCATGGCATGGCATGGCACGGCATGGCATGGCATGGCATGGCATGGCATGGCATGGCATGGCATGTGATACATGGCGGCACAGAACAGAAGAACGTACCACGGTGAGTCGATCCACGAGCCCCCACTTCATGTACTGCCGCAGCTTCGCACACTCGTCCTGGGAGGTGTTTGGAGAGGGGCGGAGGGGGAGGGGGGGAAGGGAGGGGGAAGGGGAGGGGGTGAACGGGACTTGCGATCAAGAGACATAACTGCCAGGTGGGTCACGAGCCCCCACTTCACGTACTGCCGCAGCTTTGCACACTCGTCCTGTGAGGTTGGGGGGAGGGAGGGGAAGGGGCAGGGGAGGATAAGAAAGGCTGGGACGAAAGGAGCCAGGCACGGTGGCAGAGGGAGACAGGAGATAGGAGGAAAAGACAAAGATGGGAGAAAACGAAGCACGCACCCCTCAGGTCGAAGGTGGTGGGCCAAAGCGTCCTAAGATGGGGAGGGAAATAACCCGATGGGGAGGGAAATAACGCGCTAGGGCTCTCCACACACAAACAGTCACACACCCCACCTCAGTGAACTCGGAGTTGGAGACGAGGTCGAGCGTGGTGGCCTCAGGCGTCTTGAGATTCATAATGAGCAGCTCGCAGTTGGTGGCGCCCTTGCCCACTCACACACTCTCTTCTCCACACACATTCGTTCTTACCCCCACACAAAATACACCCACCTCGGTGAACTCGGAGTTGGAGACGAGGTCGATGGTGGTGGCCTCAGGCGTCTTGAGGTTCATGATGAGCAGCACGCGGTTGGTTAGCCCCTTGCCCACGGGGTACATGTCGGTCTGGCTCGTGCAGCCTGTGAGGGCCGGGGGTGGAGATAGAGAGGTGCAAAAGAAGAATGAGAAGCACGAGAGGGGAGGGCAGAGAGAGGAGCATTCACGATGGGCAGCACGCGGTTGGTCAGCCCCTTGCCCACGGGGTACTTGTCGGTCTGGCTCGTGCAGCCTGAATTGGCATATACGCATGGAGAGGGATGATGGTGGGGAGGGAAGAGAGAGGTGGTCCATCATTTGCTGCAGCACTCTGTTGGTTAACCCCTTTGCCCACCGGGTACATGTCGGTCTGCCTGCTTGGTGCAACCTGTGGTAGGATGAAAGGGAAGAAAAGAGGCAAAACGGAAGGGGGAAGCCGGTAAAGACGAGAAGGGGCAGGAGCAATTCATAATGAGCATTGAGCGGCACGCGGTTGGTTAGCCCCTTGCCCAACGGATACATGTCAGTCTGGCTCGTGCAGCCTGTGGTAGGAAGAATGGGAAACGGGGCGCAGGAAAGACGTGCCAAGCGGGAAAGACAAGAGAAGGGGCAGGAGCACTCGTGATGAGCAGCACTCGGTTTGGTCAAGCCCTTGCCCACTGGGCACATGTCGGTCTGGCTCCTGCAGCCTGGACGGGTGGAAAAGGGGTGGTGTGTAAGAGGCATTCACACAGTGAAGCAAGCGCCATGAGCAGCACTCGGTTTGGTTAAGCCCCTGATATACCACCACTGGTCCCGAACACCCCAACCCTCCTCCTTACCAGTGCCTCTGACGATTCGGTAACAAACCTCTGTCTAGTTGGCAGGGCTGGGCACCTTGATTATTACAAACGTGCCCAGCACCTTCTGGTCAACTGCTCGTCTACTACCCTTGTGCCCTAAACCCCATCCGACCACCGAACAGCCCTCCCTACCACCCTAGCCACCACAGAACAGTAACTCTCAGGAGTCAGCAGCAGGCCTCTGCCTGGGCACTTGATCCTCACGAACGTGCCCACCTCCTTTTAGTCGAACAGCTCATCTGCCAGCAGCCCCTCCAGCTGTGTGCCCCTACCGCTGCCCACACCCCAATCCCCAAACCCTGAACCCTCTGCACCACCACCACCACCACCACCACCTACCAGTGACTCTGACCAGCCGGTAGCACGCCTCTGTCTGATTCGCAGGGCTGGGCACTTTGATCCTCACAAACGTGCCCACCACTTTTCTGGTCCACTGCTCGTCTGCCAGCAGCCCCTCCAGTTTGCGTCTCACATGCCCAACCCCAACCCCCTTCTCTCACCCGTAACCCTCACGAAGGCCTCTGTCTGGTTCGCAGGGCTGGGCACCTTAATGCGTACAAACGTGCCCACCACCTTCTGGTCGAACTGCTCGTCTGCCAGCAGCCCAGCCCCAACCCCCTTGTCTCACCTGTGACCCTCACGAGTCGGTAGCAGGCCTCTGTCTGGTTGGCGGGGCTGGGCACCTTGATCCGCACGAACGTGCCCACCACCTTCTGGTCGAACTGCTCGTCCGCCAGCAGCCCCTCCAGCTGACTCCTCTTGAGGAAAATCACGCCCAGATTCGCCAGGGTTACCGCCGCGTAACCGCACTCCGGGCCCAGGGAGCAGGCGGAGGAGGGGGAGGGGGGGGAGCGTGGGGGAGGCAAAGGGGTCTGTGACTTCCGGGGCGTCTGGATGAGAGGAGAAAGGGTCAGAGGCGAACGGATCGGTGTAGTGAGGTGCTGCAGCAGTGGGAGCGGTATCAAGGGCTCGGGCTGTGGTGGGAGGTTCCTCCCGGGAGGCCTTGGGAGGGCGGCCGCGCTTCCTCTTGCGTCCCGGGCTCGGCTCTGGGTTAGGCCTTGCGTCAAACTCTTGAATGTATGCCTCCTCGTCCTGCTGCTGCCGACGCTGCTGCCTTTTAGCATTCTTCATTTGCCCATCAGCATCTTCTTCTGCCATCTCCTGCTCTTGCGTCACTCCCTCCCTTGAACTCCAATCCTTGTCCCATCCATCCTCCTCCTCCTTCCTCCTCTCCTCCCTCTTCCCCTCCTCCTCCTGCCCCTCCCCCTCACCATCACCATTGCCATCCTCCTCTCCCTCCCCTCCTCTATAGCCCCCCTCGGTATCCTCACCCTCCAGCTCCTCAAACCTCGTCACCCTCTGACCCCCTCTCTTCACACTCCCCCCCCTACTACCCCTCCCCCTCCCCCTGCCCCTCCCTCGTCCTCTCCCTCTCCCCCTTCCCCTCCCCCTCCTCCCTGTTCCCCCACCTTCAAAGTCCGCCTCCTCCACCTCCTCCTCCTCCTCATCCTCCACTTGTTCCTCCCCTCTCGTGCCCTCTTCCCCTTACCGCCACGTGTCCCCTTCCCTTCTCCTTGTCTCCCCCTCGCATCTTAGCTGCCTCCTCCTCTGCCTGCCGCTTTAGCAGCCTCCGGGGCACTTTAACAGAGCTCTTAACGGGGTAGTGCGTGGCAAGGGTGTAGTAGAACTGGGCCTGCGTGGTACTATCAGTATCGCAGAGAGCTTGTAACGCATCATCACATGTGATCCACTTGCCCCTCTGCAATCGAGTGCCAAGGGGGAGAGAAGAGGGGAGAGAGAGAAAATAAGGGAGAGGGAAACTCAACAAAGACATATGTATATATATGAATATATACATGAGTATATATATATAAATATATATATGTATATAAATATTTAGTGAACAAAGCCAGCGAACTGCCAGGGAACTGTAACGTCGCCCTGTGCACATACGCAAGAGAAATCAGTACCATAGAGAAGCGAATAAAGCTGCAACAGAGAGGCATACACACACACACACCCCCACACACACACATGCACACACACACACACACACACACACACACACACACACACACACACACACACACACACACACACACACCTGGAGGTCGTTGGCCTGGATGTACCCCGCCACTATCTTCTTCACTGCAGACCAGTACAGAGGCTCAACCACACTCTCCCCTTGCTCCTCCAGAAACGACAGCAGCGCATCACTCGCCCATCTAGGATACTCCGCCTCCTCCTCCGCCACTTCCTCCCACTCCCCTTCTGCCTCCATCCCTCCGTCCTCCCCTCCCATCTCGCCTCCCACCTGCCCCTCTCCTCCTCCTCCGATCTCTGCCTCCTCTGCCTCCTCCGCCCCAGCCACCCACACCTCCACATCTTCCTCGTCCCCCTCCCCGCCCTCCCTCACATCCTCCCACTCCCCCTCCCCCTCCACCTCTCCCCCATACCCCTCCGCTCCTTCCTCACCCTCCATTTCTCCTTGCGCCTCCTCTTCGTCTTGCCCAGCTACCCACACTTCCACATCCCCCTCCTCCTCTCCATCAGCCCCTTCCTGGTACATGTCCTCTTCCTCCCCCGCTTCCTCTGCATATTCGTCGCCTTCTTCCGCGTATCCCTGCTGCTCCTCCGCCGCCTCCGCTTCCTCCTCACCCCCCGTTTGTGTCACAGCCCCCGCGTCCGCCCTGCCGCTCTCCGTCCCGCCCTCCCGGCCCTCGTCAGAGTCACCTGTCGCCCAGTTATCCTCATTATTGTCGGCCGCCATACTGCGTGCAGCGCCTGAGCGTGGCGTACAGCACCCGAAACAAATGGCGCGGACCACAATGGCGGAACAGGCGGCTCGCGCTTCTCTGCGATTATTTCAGCGGACAGACGAGTCCGCAGTCGTCGTTACTCAGACCTCGTGTCTCGGCTCTGCGACGCACCTTTTTATTTCCGGGATGTCTCTAGACCGAAGTATCCAGCAAATCAACTGCTCCTGGTGATGTATTTCGATTGATTAACTTTTGCAGGAGCCCGAGACTATTTTCGCACCACGTGTTGGCGACTCCAGAGATGAGCTGAGCTGAGGCTCAGGTGCTGATACGATGTCGGTCCAGGAAGTTCCTTCGAAATCAGTGGCTTGTATAGTACTTTGTACTCGATTATTATGATCCCTTTGCTTGAATTTTCTTTCCCCAAAAAAATTCCCAGTCCCAAACCCCTGTGATTGGATAGCGTCAGGCTGCGAGGGATTTAAAGGCCTCCTCTCTTCCCCGTGCACTTCCTCGTCGTTTCGCCTTTAGATCCCAACGCACAGACAAAAGTTAAGACATCCGTGATATCCGTGCCAAGGACACGTAAATCGAGCCTTGGTTAGATTTTCCAGTCATGCACAGAGGTATCGGTTTCCCCCTTCCTCACTTCCCAAGTTTCCCCTTCCGCCAGATTAATTTCCACACAGCTCGTTCAAGAGCAAGCCTAGCAGACGGCGGGCGATATGCGTGATGATTGGAAGACAAAATGCTTCCTGAAACCAGGCAATGAAGTAGCAGAAGCAGAAACACACCTCAAGTTCCTTCAGCAGAAGTGGTTTAGTACAGGGCAGCCTGATAATCTCTTGATTCTCCTCGCTCAGTTGATGTGAGATGAGAAAGGGAAGTGGAGGAGGAAAGAGAATCGTGACACAATCGAGCGCCGCGTTTGGGATTCTCCGTTTCAAACCGTCAGCACGATTGACAAGCCCTAGGTTGGTTTTGTCAACATGAATACACCCCTCCGCCTGGATAGGAAGCACATAGAACTACCGAGATGATGATGGCCATTCTTTTCAATTTCGGGTAGGGAAAAAAATATCATCCCCTTTATTCTCACTCTTCCCATTTTTTATCTGTTCACCCCATAGCATCCTTTGTTTCTGTAAACCGATTATAGGTTTAAATATTTCGTTTCTAAGATAAATTGTATTAATTGTTTATCATTTATATCATCTAACAATATATCAATCACCATATTCAATAGAATTCACCAGTGTTTTATGATCAGCTACGGCAAGAAATGGAAGTTCTATGTAACAATACTCATAGTTAAACATACCTGTACTACACCTGAAGGTGAGCTCTGCCTGAATCAGCTCTTGGACAATGTCCACATTCAAATTCCATGTCGGTCGCCGGATTTCGAATTCACCCAGAGTATCCACGAGGTGGCGTAGTACAGCCAATGAGATGCGTTCCTTCGCCTTGGCATGCGGTAACCGAACCCCATCCGACGAATCGCATCTCGCCTGTTATCCTTCGTTCTGCTTCAGGATTCGCTCCTTTTCCCCAGAGAGAGCCTCGACGTTTCCGAGCCTGGTTCCGCTTGCCCTCGACTCAAGACCCTGGCGACGCCAGACCTTCTTGCCACGCAGATAAGCCAATGAGATCTCCTCGTTTCAGCTCCACGTGAGCCTCGAAAGTTCCGAGCCGGCTAGCTCGGCGCGCAAGTCGCTCCAAAATGGGCATTCAATGCTTGGCCTATTCTATTGCCATGTAATGGCGGCTCCTAGTCCAAGGTAGATCCTCTACGGCTTGCCTTTGCTCTGAGCTTATGTACTAGGACATCGTTGTTTTAGCATCCTAAGCCTGATGCTGACGCCGCCTGTTCCTCGTACTGCTCGATAGACGTACAGTTTGGCACATCTCTTTCGAGCCCATTACTGCAATTCTTTTCCCTACATAAGCCCCCGTCACTGAAGTCTTACGAATTCTGAAGCCCCCCGTTTGGCACATCTCCCTTGAGGTCTTACGAATTCTGCTTCCTGCTCGCGTATCGTTGGACTCCAGGCCATTTCCTGGAGTCTTAGCCGGCGCTGTCGACAATGACCGCGATTATGGCTAGCCTGGTAGCTTCTTTGCCTCAGAGATACGCCACGAGCAGTCTAACGAGTGAATGTGATGCAGAATCGCCGCTGAAACCCCGCGGCCACCATTTTCGTAAGTTCCGTTGTCATGTTGCTTCTCGGCAATTTCCTTAGTAAGCGTAATGCGTGCCGTTGAATGTGTCCCTTAGGTGCCATTAGTAGGCGACCCAAGGCGCCCTAAGGTTCACAGCTGCACTTCCGCAATTCCCGCGCTCGCATCGCGTTTACTTCTTCACGGATTGCTGCCTCGCAGGTCCCTCCACGTCAACACTTCCCTGGCGTCCAATCCGAGCGAAGTATCCCCCTGAGGATACGGAGTCTTGCAGCAACATTAGGGCCGAACGACCGGAAAGGCGGAGCCGCGGATTCAGGAGGCGAATCGTGAGAGTTAATGCGGAGGATGGGCCCTCTGCTGGTGGCGGCTCGGAGGCCGAGAGTGAAAGCCGCTGGTTCGGCGAAACCCGCCAAATCCAGTGACGCTCCTGAGGGGGGCAAGGGAGACAGAGAGAGAGAAGGAGACTCGGCAACGAGTAAGGAGAAGGAGAAGGAAAGGAGCAGAAGGAGAAGGAGAAAATTGAACAGAAGGAGAGGGAGAAGGAGCGGCGGAGGCAGCAGGGCGCTGCAGGCGGTGAGGCGGGCCGGGAAAGTGCCAAGCAGCGCAAGTGGGAGTGGCAACGATAGTGCCGGCGGCGGCGGCGGTGAGAGGGGGAAGGAGGGCGAGGGCGCGGGGAAGGCGCTGCTGATGGGCTGGCGGAGGCCATAGAGGACGCGTTCGGCGTGAGCGATGATGGGAAAGGGGCTGTGGAAAAGCTGGATATCGCCAAGGTGAGACGCGCCACTGACGGGTGGTGGGGTGAGACGGCGGCGAGGTAGCACTGAAGGCACTGAGGGCGTGGTGAAGGGGCTGCTGATGCGGCTGGCGCTTTTGGCGTTGACGGATGATGGCAAGGGAACCGTGGAGAAGCTGGACATAGCCAAGGTGAGAGCACTGTGCTGGGTCACTGAATCGGTGAAATGAAGTGAGAGCGAGGGACAGGGCGCGGTGAAGGGGCTGCTGGTGGGGCTGCTGGTGGGGTTGCTGGTGGGGCTGCTGCTGGTGCTGCTGGTGGTGCTGCTGCTGGTGCTGTGAAGGGGCTGCTGGTGGGGCTGGCGGAGGCCATAGAGGATGCTTTTGGCGTGACGGATGACAGAAAGGGTGCTGTTGGAAAGCTGGATTCTTGCAAGGTGACAGACGGTGGGTTTGGTTTGGGGTTGAGAGGGGCAGTGAGGGAGAGGTGAACGGGCTTCTGGTGCTGCTGCTGGTGGTGCTGCTTCTGGTGCTGCTTCTGGTGATGCTGGTGGTGATGCTGGTGGTGATGCGGGCGGGGCTGGCTCCACCCCTGCTTCTCCTACACCGAATTCTGGACGATTCGCTCACGCCCCTTCCGCTGCTCCATGTTCAAAAGCACCGTCCTTTATTCTCCCCTCCACCTCCCCCTCCTCTCTGCCATCCAGCTCCGCACCTTCTTCTCGTACACCAACTGCTGGGCGATTGACTCGCGCCCCCACAGCACTGTCCCCCACAGCACTGTCCCCCGATCTTTCTCAGGGCAACTGCTCCTTTCTCTCCTCCCCCCGCCTTAAACCCTGCGCCCTCTCCCCACTCCCCATACCGCCCACATGTGTTTCTCGTACACCGACTTCTGGCCCACGGACTCAACCCCCCAACGGCACGTGCCGCACGCCTTACTAAAGCACTATGCATTTTCCTCCCCTTTCGCCCTTTTCCTCCTCCATACAGCTCCGCACGTGCTTCTCCTACACCGACTTCTGGCCCCACTGACTCGCGCCCCTACAGCACGCTCTGTTCACCTCTCTCTCTCCTTCCACTCCTCCCTTCCCCTCCGCCCTCCCCTCCCCCCTCTGTAACCTCCCTTCAGCTCCGCACGTGCTTCTCCTACACCGACTTCTGGCCCACGGACTCGCGCCCCTACGGCACGGGCGCACTCTTCACAGGCAACCTGCGGGCTGCTGACGTGGCGGACGTGCGGGAGAGGCTGCAGGTGAAGCTGGGGGAAGCTGCTGGGTGCGCCGTGGAGGTTTTCTTCTTGAAGGACGAGCAGCGGGAGAAGGAGGTGCGTTCTTTAAGTAGACCTTGGCACTCTCCTTCTCTTTCGTCTTTTTAGTCTCTGCATGGGCTGACTAAAATAATAAGCCAGGCGAGGCTGCCTGCTAGGTGCCCCATGGAGGTGTTCTTTCTAAACGAAGAGCACAGGGAACGGGAGATTGGCGGTTCCTGTGGTGTGGCTTGGGGGTGCGTGTTGTGGTCCTGGTGGTTGATAGCTGTGCGTTCTTGAGAATTCCCCAAAGCAGCCTGCAAAAAAATCTTGGTGCGTGCGGTCGGTCCTGGACCCAGTGGCGTAGCTGGTGTGTGCCGGACGAGGTGGGCGAAGCAGGTGGTGCATAGTGGAGCCAAAAGCAGTCGGTCAAATCTACTCTTAAGTCGACTCAAAAGCAAATCTACTCTTTACTTGTGCATTGTGCGGCCAGCAGCGTCCATCACTCGCCGCCTGTCCCTCTCCCACCCCTCCAGCCTGTCCCTCTAGTTTGCAGGGTATTTTTGAGAATTCTCCAAATCTCCCTCTCCCAGCCCTCTGATGCAGCCTCTCCCTCTCCCACCCCTCCAGCCTCCCCCTCTGGCCCCTCGTGCTGATTCCCCGCCTGGGCTGTCTCTCCTCCTCCCCCTGTATCTCCTCTACCCCATCCCCAGGTGTGCATAGTGCAGCCAGCAGCGTCTATCAACCGCCGCCTCGCCCTATCTCAGCTCAACGGCTTGTCCCGCTGGCCACTCGTTCTCATCTCCCTCGTCGGCTGTCTCGCCACCACGGCCACCGTGTCTGGGGTGAACCTGGACCCCTTCGGAGCCGGGGAGCCATCCCATCAGGCCCTACCTCTGGCGTTGGGTCTTGCTGTCATCATTGGAGTGGGCGAGGTCAGTGTCAATGCCCCTTGTGCTGCTCTCTCCCTCCTCAGCTGTCACGCCACCACGGCCACCGTGTCTGGGGTGAACGTGGACCCCTTTGGCGTCAGGGAGCCGTCCCATCCGGCTCTTCCGTTGGCTCTCGGCCTTGCAGCGATCGTCGGCGTTGGGGACGTAATGAGCCCGCCTCGACCACTTTCTGCCCCTACCCTTTGTCGTTCTGTCGGCTGTCTCACCACCACGGCCACTGTCTCTGGGGTCAACTTCGACCCCTTTGGAGCTGGGGTGCCGTCCCGCTGGCTGTGGGTCTTGCAGCCATGATTGTAGTAGGGGTGGGCGGTGCCCTCCCCCAATGTCCCACTTGACGAGCCATCCTTTGCTTGTGCAGGGTGTTTTTGAGAAATTTCCCAACTTCACAACAACCCAAAAACACCAACCCAAAGTAGAAGACAACCCAAAAGCACCCGGCACAATAGAGGATATCCCACGGTATGAGCCATCCTTTGCTCGTTAATGATCCGCGTCTCCCTGCTGGGCCCTCGTGCTGCTCTCTCCTGACCTGTTAAATTCGTTTTTGAGAATTTCAAAAGAAATAATGATCAAAATCGAGATTTTGAGAATTCTCAAAAAA